AATAGGGTTCGTCCTTGGGCCAAAAAAATATTGTATGGAAAATTTCATCTCAATCGGATAATAAATGCGACCTGCATTTTGTTCACAAGAATACATGGACAGATGGACGGACGGACAGACGGACTGACATGCATAAATCGACTCAGAAAGTGATTCTATGAAGGTTCTCAAAAGTAACTATGGGTCTATCTCGTTTCCTTCTCCATGTTACAAACAAATGCACAAAGACATAATACCCTTACCACCATGTGGTGTAGGGTATAAAAATCTCATACTTTCTGCTAACTGGTCTCACATGTTTTAGTTTGCTGGGTTTTCTGCTACCTCGCCCATGAACAAATGTGTGGTTTGTTATGATATGTAGGATGAATACCGCTTTGGTATATCAACATTGTTATGTTGTTGAGGCGTTTGTAAAACAATGGCTTGGTTAAAAAATGCCAGTATCTGGAAAAACTGCGGAAACGTAGGCTAACTTATATATTTTCCATTTGTTACTTTAAATCATTAAACAATATTCTTTATTAAAAAATCAAGATTATAATCCTTAATTTTTTCCAAAACACATTTGTATTGATAACGAAATGAAAAACTAAAAAATCATGGTATCTATATATATAAATGTAAGTTGTGTTAGTTACTACGCTTATAACTTAAGAACCGCTGAACTGATTTTAATGATTCATACAAATTCGGAATTGTCTATTATCCGAAAAGGATAATATCCAAAAAAATCGCGTAAAAATGTGATATATTAACATTTTCATTTTGACTTTTCAAATGTACAATAGTAATGTTTTATTTTGCATGATTTTTTTCCATTTTGACTTACTTTTTTCTAATGTACATTTGTAGTGTTTTTTTATATTTTATTTTTGAATTCGAATATTTATACCAATTTATTTAATTGACTTGGTTTCTTGAGAACTGAAATTGATGGCGGGTTACATGGAAGTGTAGTAGCGAATTATGTGGTGGCGAAACGGAATAGATGATATCGAACGCGGTCACACCAAAGTTAAAAGATAATTACTTTTTCTAAATCGCTGAAAAATCATGAAAAAGAGATCTCATTGCAAAAATCAAAAAAACATTTTCAATGGAATCGAATTTTAAAGTAATAGTACATTCTATTGACAAACTTTGTAAGGAAGGATCTTAAAACATTTGCTGTAAATAATCAGCGAAAAAGTTGTAGACTTTTTCAATTTGTTATTCTTTTTTTTGTCAATTTTTTTTTGTGAACAAAATAAAGAATAATTTAATAATAAGTGCGAAATAGGATGTTAACTGACATCTACCTTTCAACTCCAGGGCCTACATCGTGGGTTAGCAGGAAGATGCGAACACGTTTAAACAAACAAAAATGACCGAAAAAGCTTAATGGGGCTCATTTCAAAGCGTGACAATGATCCGTCCAATGAGAGCTCAAAATGCAAAATTCTTTGGGAGAATAATAAGTAATATACCAATATTGAAAAAAAGGTGCAAAATAGTAGAGCGAATGTGACTTTTAGTAAGAAAAGGTTTTATATCCTTCCAGAAATTCTTCCCAAACATTCAAAATACCTAAAATCACTTTTGCAGGTCTTTATATCGATCATAACTCATGGATAAGGGAACAACCCGATTTCATATTTATATAACCATCTATGATTTAAGTTATTTTTGGGGTCTTGGCCGGCCACTTTTTTCATTTTTTGGCCCTTATTTGACATTTTGGTTTCTAAGGGGGTAGATAACCTCTTCGCATAAAATTTGAAATTTTCAGAGTAGGGCATATATTGGTATTGACCACATTCATCAATTGATTTGGCTAAAAAATTTTATTTATGCCACCCTGGGATAGGGAACCATCATACAGATAATTGCCACATAGGAATTTATTTAAGTAAAGTCCCCACATTGGAGTATCCCCAAGTCCACTTTCACATCTAATGTGTGGTCAGAAAAGAACATTTTGTATTCTATTGAATTTTTAACCCCCAAGAGAATATTGGTTGGGAACGTAGATTTGGGATGTGCATCCATATGAAATAAATTGTGGAAACATGAACAAATTACAAATATAAGAAAGTAGCACGGGACCGAATATTTGTTTAATCATCATTGAATTATCCTATGATGAAAATATGGAATCTAAGGGGTCTCCAACTTACAATTTAAATGGCAAATAAAATTAATTCCCATCTTATCATTCTGCCCTCAATTATGAGGTGGATAAAACTATTTTTACTTATTTAAATCACGCGAAATGCTATGACATGCTATATTGTTCTGCTATATTTTTGATTTATTTGTCAGTCATATCTGTGAATAATTATGCTTGGGAATATATGCATAATAGACAAAAACTACGGGCCGGCAACGCGGACCGGGCCAGCTAGTAGGTTATAAATTGGTGTAGCAATTTACATAGGGTGAAATGAAAAAACTGCAACCAACTTCAGACCGTTGTCATTTCTAAACCACTCGTCCGACTGCTGTAAAAATAATTCCAGTGACAGCTCATTTTATTGTTTACAAGCGCACAAAAGCATTTTGGTGAGAATTTTCCAGAGAAAAGGTTATTCGTGATGGAATTCAAGCGTGATAGAGTGATTTCTTTATATTTGGCTGGAAATAGTTACAGCACTCCAGCATTCGTTACCCCGATACTGGTAGCGTAGCCCGACGTCATGGAAGTGGACGGAATCAGCAGAAATGGTTCGAAAAGTAAAGGAGCGACTTGATCGAAACCCGCGTCGAAATGGCCAAAAAAAGCTAGTTAGCTGGACATATCGCAATGATTCGACTAATGTTGAAAAATGAGCTCGAGGTAAAGCCATTGAAATTTAAAAAAGTGCAAGAACTTTCACCGCCACAGAAAGAAAATAGACTCAAAAGAGCTAAAGAGTTGCTTCGCTTGGCCGAAAGGGATGAACTGTCGAATTTGGTTTTCTCTGATGAGATAACATTAAATGTCCAGCAGTTTGTATACAAACAAAATGATCGTGTTTACTTGCCGAAGAGGTCAGCTGAAAATGTGCACCTTCGGTTGGCCACCAGAACTCAAGCGCCGGCGATAGTGATAATGTGGGCCGCCATAACAGCCGATGGTCGCTCTTCACTCGTATTAATCGACCGTGGCATCAGAATGAATGCTGAATATTATCGTGAAAATATTCTGGAGGGTGTATTAAAGCCTTGGGCACGCAAACATTTTGGCTGCAGACCTTGGATATTCCAACAGGACTCAGCACCATCAGACTCAGCACGCACCAAGAATGGTTACAAAATAAGGTTTCTCGCTTCATTTCCAGGGCACAATCCGTTGGACTATTTTGTCTGGAGTATTTTGAAAAGCAAGGTTGGCACTAAAAAATACCAATCACTTCAAGCCTCAACATTCGGGCAGCGTGTGACGGTTTCAATGTCCGTTTGAAGGCCATAATTCGTGCCAAAGGTGACCAATTCGAACAAATCTAAACTTATTCTAAAATTTGATGGCATTTCCGACATATTTTGCTTTCATTCAATGAAATTTAAAAAAAAAATGTAAAAATTATGGCGTTTGACTTTGTTGCAGTTTTTTTATCTCACCCTGTATATTAGAGTTCGTTACTCTAAAATTTGTATTTTCAGTTCATTTGTAATAATATTTTGGTTTTTCAAGTGGAGGCAACTCTCGATTTGGTACATTTTATTATATTTATCTAACGCCAGGCTGCCCCGTCCGTAGTTTTTTAAAGCATAATACCTTACTGATCTGGCTCATATAAGTGGCACAATTTTTATAACCTCAGTCAAATGGCTGGAGAGAGTATCTATCATTTGATACGCCCAAAACGTGACTCATCAAAATAGAGGGATATTCGTCCGTCTGTCTGTCTGCTGGCTGGTGCGCACGAAAACTCTCGAAGGACGTATCCGATTTGGTCCAAACATGGTAATCGTGATATTATTATCAAACTTAGATCGAGTTCGGAGATGGGCAACATCTGTCGAAAATATTTTACTGCACAGAAAGGGAAAGGATAAACCGATCTTGCTTCAACTTTACAAATCCTAATACTTGCATCAGTGCTAAAATGGACAATACCGATCCCCTCCATCAAGTACCTCCTCCACAAAGGTTTCACACTTTAGCAAATTATTATTCTTATAAAATGAGATGTTAGTGTCCGATTGTCTTCATATTACACAGATTACAATATTTTTATTAACACCAAGTCTGGTGTGAAGATGGGATATATTGGTCCACTCCTTCTGGTACCTCCCTCACAAGGGTCAACATATTGAATATCCATGAAGCTCATAAAACGAGAAATTAATATCCGTTTCCATTCATACTAGGCACATCCTAATTTTTCTATCAAAACAAGATCTGTTATAAATATGGTAGAGATTGGTCCACTCCTTCTGGTACCTCCCTGGTAAGATCAAATTTTTGAATAATCAAAAGTTGCTTGGTTGTTATTGAAAATGAGATATATCGGTCCACGTTTTGGGATAGCCCCCATATAACTATACCCCCCGATATTCGGTATTTTGATGATGTTAGCCACACTTTTCAATGGAATTGTCTTAAAATCCACAGAAGTAGTTCCTGAGAGCGAATTGTTAATACAGGTCCACGATATCGTATATCCCCCATATATCGGCACCTTCCTATATTAGATATTTTAAAGATTTTAAAATAATTTTTAATGGATTTTATTTATTTTTGAAAATTTTCTAATTCGTTCCAAATGGTGGAGGGTATTCAAAGTTCGGCCCGGCCGAACTTTCTGCTTTTTTACTTGTTTTTACTAACATTATTTCTATATATAGATTATTTTGTTTTTTGAAGGTTTTCACTGAATTTGTTGGTTTTAAAGTATATTATAAAAATACTAATAATATTCTGAAACATCTGTTCTTCTTGTGCTATCACTTTATTCATACATAACCTACCTTATAGTTTCTGGTATAAGCTCTCAACATACAACAATCTAAAGTTTTTGTTTTAATTTTTTTTTCAAATTTATTTTTATATGTACAAGCCCAACAAGAAAATTTATCATCTGGAAAATATATCGAATTTTATATACTCGTCTGTGAGTTTTCCTCCGGTATTGTGCACAGGGCTGGGGAGTGTGTTGCATCCAAAAGAACATTTGTTGAACTATTTAATTGACCAGCGGGTACTACTTCTTCAGCAGTCTGTTGGCAAGTTTCTTCGCAAGAAGTGTAGGACGGTTTTAGTCACCTGGAGTAGGTTTCAAAGACATCAGTGGCCTAAAAACATGCAACGATATAAAAGAAAAAATGGCATATAAATAAAAAATTAGAATTATGATAACAATAGAGATTAGATGTCGTATTGTCTGAAACATGCGAAAAGAACAGCGACAGGTTAATACGTTGTTGTATTTGCCACATAGAATCACTTTTTGATTTAATTTATGCTTACCGACCGATTTTAGTTACATCGAATGTCCTCCTTGTAAATTTATATTGTGGAATCTCAATGGGAAAACATACAAGTAAGCAAAGTCCATAATCGGACGGTCCCGACCATTTGATACCCTACAACACTAGAATTTGCGGTAAAGTTTCTGCAGATCTGAAATAAGGATTCCCTTAAGAAACAACCCTACTACATCTACTGGAACCAATATTTTCCAACGATCACTTAAAAGCACGGGTATGTAACGAAGCAGATGTTCCTACTAGGTCAATTCCCTAATTCGCTCATTCCAAAAGAACAGAAATTTCACATTCAAAAATATTTACCATGCCTATTGAACATTTTATTTTCATTTCATTCTTGAAACAATGTCACACAGTCCTGGAAAAATTTGACTTTTGACCGAAACTACAAGGTAATGCACATCTTTATAGGAATTTTTCTACAATATTTGAAAATTTTAATTTTGATTTGATATTTGACAATATTAGTCAACGAAATCAACCTTTGGCATGAATTATGGCCTTCAAACGGCCAATGAAACCGTCACACGCTGTCCGAATGTTGCTCTGCTGTATTTTGGTCCGTTCCCGGCGAATCGCTTGCTTGAGGTGATCGGCACTTTTGTATTTTCTAGTGCCAACCTTGCTTTCCAAAATATTCCAGACACAATAGTCCAACGGATTAGTATCCGGCAGTTAACCGCTTTCTGCAAAGCGAAGAAACTTCTTAGCTCTTTTGAGCCTATTTCCTTCTGTTGCGGTGTAAGTTCTTGTCCTTTTTATACCCTCCACCATAGTATGGAGGGTATATTAAGTTTCTCATTCCGTTTGTAACAGCTCGAAATATACATTATAGACCAACAAAGTATATATTCTTGATCAGCATAAAATTCTATGTCGATTTAGCGATGTCCTTCCGTCTATCCATCTGTCCGTCTGTGGAAATCATTCTAGCTTCCTAATGAATAAAAGTAGATGTCTGCAGGTATTGAAAATGGGCCATGTAGGTCCACGTCTTCGTATAGCCCCCATTTTGTTGATTTTAGCGACATTTTTCACCGGAATTCTTTCAAATTTGGTATTTGAAGTTCATAATAGATACTACAGCCTAACATAGGAAATGGGCCATGTAGGTTCATGTCTTCGTATAGCCCCCATGTAGCGGTACCTCCCGGCATTCGGTATTTCGATGATTTTAGCGACATTATTTACCGGAATTGTTTCATATTTGGTATTTGAAGTTGGTAATGAATACTACAGACTAAGGCAGAAAATGGACCATGTAGGTCCACGTCTTCGTATAGCCCCCATATAGCGGTACCTCCCGATATTCGGTATTTTGATGATTTCAGCGACATTATTTACCAGAATTATTTTCAAATTTAGTATTTGAAGTTCGTAATAGATACTACAGCCCATGATAGAAAATTGTCTGTGCAGTTCCACGTTTTATAACTCCCATGGTACCTCCTTATATTCCGAATTATTATGATTTTAGATACATTACAAACAAATGTTTTCAAGTTTCGCTTTTGAATATTGTAATAGCTAATGACAAAAGCTGCCTATGCAGGTCCACGTCCTCGTATATACCTAATATACGGAATTTTTTAACGGATTTTATTTTATTTATTTATTTATATTTTTTTACTTTTTTTTTTTTGAAAATTACCAAATTTGTTCCAAATGGTGGAGTGTATTCAAAGATCGGCCCGGCCGAACTTACAGCTTTTTACTTGTTGGAATTTCAATGACTTTACCCCGAGCTCATTTTTCAATATTTGCCGAATGGAATATTGCTATGTTCAGCTCGCGATCAATATTTAGGCCACTCGGGTTTCGATTAAGTCGCTTCTTTAAGTTTTTGAACCATTTCTGCTGATGTTGCTGGTTTTTCCGTCCATTTCCTTGACATCGGGCTACGCTACCAGTATCACGGTAACGAGCGATGGTACGATACACAAACAGTTTATTCACATTTAAATGATGGAGTGCTCTAACGATAGCCACTTGTGGGTTTTCAGCCAAATAAAAAAAAAGAAATCACACTATCACGCTTGAATTCCATCACGAATAACTTTTTTCTGGAAAATTCTCACCAAAATGCTTTTGTACGCTTGTAAACAATATAATTATCTGTCACTGGCAAACTTTTAACAGCAGTCCGAGTGACGAGTGGCTTCGAAATGACAGCAGTCTGAAGTTGCAGTTAGATATTTTTCATCTCACCCTGTATATAATTTGTACGGCCAAAACGTGCCTCATCGAAATAACGGTTTTAGACCCTAGGTTTCTTTGGACCAAATCCTTTTTTGAGGACATTTGGAGTCGATCTAGAGATGTCCGTCCGTCTGTACGTCTGTCTGTCTGGCTGGTGCGCACGATAACTCTCGGAAGGAGTCTTACAATTACACAAGTCACAATATTTTTTTAAACCCAAATCTGGAGAGAAGATGCGATACATCGGTCTACTCCTCCTGGTACCTCCCCCTCTAACGGTCGAAATTTAGAATATCAAAGATGTTCAAAAACGAGAATTTAATATCCAATTCCATTCAAACTTGCCACATCTCAATATGTCTATTAACACAAGGTCTCTTATAAAGCTTCCCCACAAAGTCAAAGGTATAACCTCAATATAACACGATATTCGGTATACAAAAGACTTTATCTCAAATTATTTTTTTTATTAAATTGAACCCACTCTAATACTGAATATCTTTACTGTTTTTTCAAAGGTTCTCTTTTCCTCCAGTCAACGATTTTTTTCTTGTTGCATTTAACATATATCATGCATGGAATGACAAAAGAGTCCCTATCAACTCACAAATGCAAGTATTAGTCTAATGCCAATTATATTTTGTTCAATGAAAATGGAAAAATTTACTTACATTCTCATGCTGTCCAGCATAACATTGTCTGAGTCTGTATAATTGGTATTGTGATATTACACATAAAATGCAATATACCTGCAGGAAGAACAGTCATTATTTGGAATTACGACATTGTTTTTGTTAATAGTATTATTATTAGATATTGTTTTAGTTGGGAATGTTTTTTTTTTTTTTTTTGACAAATACATACTTACATTTAATGTTGTTATGAATAAAATTATTGTGAAAATAAATCCGTTTACTGGATTAAATTCCACTCTTCGATATATTAAAAAATAGCCAATGTAAAAAACCTCTAGGATTAAATCAGCTACCATCATCAGAATCCATGGCCACAGAAGTTCCCGTTTTTTCTGGAATGAAAATAAATTAAGTGCATATTCAATTATATTTGTTGTCAATAATATTTGTATACCCTACAACGCAATGTTTTGGGGGTATTATAAGTTTGATTAGGCCAAAAATTATGTAACACCTCGAAATATTGATCTCCGACATTGGAACCTATATACAGACCTTCCTATCTCGCCAAGCTGAGTCGATCTAGCTATGTATGACCCTCCGTATGTCCGAATGTGCGTCTGTCCAGGTTAATATGTAATCAAACTATAGGTCGCAATTATGGCCGGATTTTCACGAAATTCAGAATGAAGGTAGAGCTGCGGCCAGGATAGAAGAGTATTGCTTTTGAAGATGATTAGGGGTTGAAATGAACCAAAAACAGAATAAATATTGATTTTTCTGTTGCTCTATGAACCATATTAAGCGGGTAAATTATACCATAACTTTTTTATACCATAACCGCGAATATTTTTAATTCTGATGAAATCGAAATAAAATCATGTAAAAATATGACAGTTAAAAATTAAATATTTTTTGTTAATTTTTTAAATCTTTGTAAAATTTTTTATCGCATGCAATTTTTTTAATTTGACTTGCAATTTTGAATTGTACATTTTGTAAAGTTGCTCTACACCCCGCAACAAAATGTGTTGAGGGTATTATATACAGGTCGCAATTATCGTCCGATCCACACAAAAATTTTTGGTGAAGGTCAGAATTAAAGTATACTGTTTTTGAAGATGTACATTTAGGGGTTCAAATGGACCAAAAAAAATCCTTTTTGCAGTCGCTCTACGAACACAACTGAAAACCAATCGGCACGGAAGAGAATTAGGAGAGAATTAAGTACAGGGAAGAAGTCTTGCATTTTTGATGACCATTGGATTATATTTAGCTGTAAAATGGACCACAACTTTCTTGTGAAGTTGTTTTGAATACCTAGCAACATGACGGAATGCGTAAATATTGGGCAAATGCACCCGTATCACATTAAATTTTTTAATCCATTTGCACCTCTAAATGTACATCTTAAGAACAATAGGCTTTAATTCTGACCCTAACCCTACCCCCATGCAAAATTTCGTGAGGATCGGACGATAATTGCGATATGCATATCATACCCTCAAAACGTAGTGTTGGGGGGTGTAAAAATTTAGAAAATTTACAATTCAAAATTGTAAGTCAAATTGAAAAAATCGCATGCGATAAAAAATATGACAAAAATTGAAAAAAATCGACAAAAGATATTCACTTTTTTATTGGTATACTTTCCAGCGATTTTCTTAGATCTTGTCGTTTTGTGGCAAGAGACCATTCCGAATTAATGGGAATTGTGAAAATCGCCCCAGCGGTTCTTGATTTATAAGCAGAATAAATAAGATCAATTCTTTTACATATATATTGTACCTATTCTTCTATATATCCGATTTCTTGGCTATTAGCATCACTGTAATGATCAGAAGTGATCCTTTAATGTATTTTTGATTTGGCTGGGATTGAAAATATTCGCGTTTTGGTGGACATTTTCCCAGTTTCTCACATAAAAGTTTGGGTCTATTTTACCCGCTAATTATTGTCCGATGGCCGCCCAAATTGGTAGGTTTCTGCCCACTCCTAAACTCTAACTCCATGTTAATTTTCGAGTCGATTGGTTCATAATTGTGGCAACTGCAAAATCAGGAAATTTTTCTGTTTTTGGTCCATTTCAACCCCTAAATATCGTGCGATCATCTCCAAAAACAATAGGGTTCTATTCTGACCATAACCCAAACTCCATTTTCAATTTCGTGAGGATCGGTTCATAATTGCGACCTGTAGCTTGATTACAAATTAACATGGACAGACGGACGGACGGACATACATAGCTAGATCGACTCAGCTCGGCGAGATAGGAAGTTCCATATATACTTTCCTGTGTGGGAAACCAATATTTCGAGGTGTTACATAATTTTTGGGCCAATCAAAGTTATAATACCCCCAACACATAGTGTTGTAGGGTATAAAAACATACTCAATCTAAAGTCACACTTTCAAAAAATTTAGTCCCTCTGATATCTGAAATCTTTTACTGAAGCTATATTTGATATGATTTTCACAACATATGATTCTAGCATTATTTGGTCGAAGTGTCAAATCCCATCCTATCTGGGCTTATATCATACATTTGGTTACATACTATTTGTGCCAAAATTATATTACACATTTGGTGACCAATTTCCGGTTATAACCGATTTCAATAGGTTTAGTCCGTGGACCAAATAAATTAACGTGTTCAAAATTTAATTTTTATTGAACGACAATAACGAATGTGGTTTTATAGATAACACCAAAGATACTATCGACCCGAGGTCTATTTAATAAGGTCACACGGGAGGCGAATTTAGACCGTGTTCTGCTCTTGCTGTCAAAAATATTTTGGAGATGAATCGAACAAAATAGAGGAAACCAAATATTCGTTTTTGTTTTTATCAAGCTCAATTTCTCCATTGAATACTAAGTATTATTAAATAATAATAATAGATTTAGCTATATTTGTTACTTACCCTCTTCAGGCCAAATATCAGCAAAACTGCTGAAAATATTAATCCCATGGAAACTGTCAATGACATTATATTGAATACTACATGTGCTGCAGGAAATAAATAAACAATCAGAATTGTTCAAAAATGTCCCGAAAATTCGTAAGCGGAATTCAATTACTTTTGGTTATGTCACCTTTCTCAATTATTGTCTCTCCTCGGGGCTTGTCTCGTTTTCCCAGAAGATAGTCCCATTCATCGATCAGACTTCTTACACCAAGGAATGCTGAGAACCCATGATAAATCTGCGAGAAATAAAAGCAAATAAATCGGTATTTCCAAGAAAACAATAAAATTACATCAGTGGGTGGGATTCGGCAAGGGGTGTGTTATATTGATGGATATAAACTTAAAAATTAAATTAAAAATGCGTCTTTAAATAGTTATATCACTAGGAAAAAAATTTTGGAGGAAGGTTTTAGCCCCTTATTATATTCATATCCATATCAGCCTTCTTATACCCTCCACAATAGTATGGAGGGTATATTAAGTTTGTCGTTCTGATTGTAATACCTCGAAATATACCTTAAAGACCCTACAAAGTATATTTATTCTTGATCAGCATAAAATTCTATGTCGATTTAACGATGTACATCCTGATGTCTGTCTCTAGCTTCCGAACGATTTGAAGTCGGTTGATAAAATTTTATTCAGGTGTGTGTTTGTTCTGCAGGACTTTTGGTATTGAAAATGATATAGACCCACGTATTGGTATAGCCTCCATATAACGGTACCTCTCTATATTCGGTATTTCGTATTTGAAGTTCGTAATGGATACTTCAACCTATGACAGTTGTGGACAGTTAGTTGTGGTTATGCGACTACCTTTATTATTGGAGAACAAGACTATTTATGCCTTGTTCGGCTTTGCTTATATTCGTATTTGATTTTTATACCCTACAATACTATGTATTAGGGGTATTATAAGTTTGATTGCACTAAAATATCGGTTTCCCATATAGGAAAGTATATATGGATATTCCTATCTCGCCGAGCTGAGTCGATCTAGCTATGTATGTCCGTCCGTCTGTCTGTCCATGTTAATTTATAATCGCTCTACAGGTCGCAATTATGACTCGATCTTTACGAAATTTAGAATGGAGGTGGGGCTAGAGCTAGAATAGAACCATATTGCTTTTGGAGATGATCGCATAATATTTAGGGGTTGTAGTAGCTCTATAGGTCGCAATTATGAACCAATCGACGCCAAAGTTAGCATGGGGCTAGAGCTTAGGGCTGGGCAGAAGCCTAGATGCAGATATTATATATATCGGATATATATAGCGAAATATATAAAATGTATATATAAAGATGAAGGGGATGTTAGCTAGAAAGCTTATATCTCAAGAATGGCTGGACCGATTTTGAAACATTTTGTCAATTCAGAATGCCCTGCTGACATTAAAAAAAAATCGCATAAAAGGATGCCCATATTGATGTTAATATAGATTTTGTACTATTTTGTGACATTTTTTATTTCATGCGATTTTTTCAATTTGACTTATAATATTGAAGTGTATATTTTGTAATATTTTTTCCACCTTACAACACAGGTTGGGGTTATTATATACATATTGCAATATAAGTCCGATCTTCATGAACATTACGGACATTTTCACAAGGGTAGGATTAGGCTCAGAAGGGATAGGCCTATTGTATTCAAAGATGTCCGCAATATATTTAGTAGTTGAAATGGACCAACAACTAAAAATGTTCCTGATTTTGCAGCCCTTACAAAGGTCACAAATAGAAACAAATGAAGTTAGAGTTTAGGACAGCGAGTAGAATGGACCACTACATTTGTGTGGAAAAATACCAACATTACTTACAGATGATATCCGAAATACAGAAAAGGCGAACTTCTGGCTTTTTATGCTGATTTCGTAGCAAATCATATAGATAAGTCTAAATTTCGAGATGCAGAGGGGAATCTTACTTTTGGAGATGATCGCAAAAATATGTCCTGATCACACAATTTAAGTCACTCGACACGCCTGAGAAGAGAGTTAAGGACAGGGAAGAATTCTAGCATTTTGGACTACAACAATTAACAGCAGGACGGAGTGCGTAAATATTGGGCAAATGTCCCTGGCCAAAATGCTAAGGGTAATATCTGGGCAGTGCTCCGTGACATAATTTCAAAAGCGAAATCTTATAAAAAGGATTTTGACATAAGGGGGCTTCTAACATATTGTAGTGCTGTAGGGTATCATATGGTCGGCCCCGCCCGACTATAGCCTTTGCTGATTTGTTCCGATTATGTTTGTATTATTTTCTACCAATAAATTTCCATATTCTTGTTCTTACAAATTGTTGTGCAACAATATTTGCTTTTACCTTATATTCGTTTACCATGCAACAGAAGTAAATCGATCTGATGCTAGATTCTTGATCTATGAAAATATGAAATACAAAAATGTTTTTCATTAAATTTTTCATTTTAATTTTTATTCTCTATAAAATGATTTATTTGAAATTTTCATAGGACGGGAATCGAACCCCTTTTTATAACCTCCACCATTCTATTAGCTCTGTCATTTCGTTTGTAACTCCTCCATGTCGGTCCACGCTTTTGTATAGCCCTCATATAACGGTACCTCCAAATATTCGGTATTTTCATGAATTTAGCGACAGTATTTACCGGAGTTATTTCAAATTTCGTATTTGAAGTGCGTAATGGGTGCTACAGCCTATGAAAAAATTTGTGTATACAGGTCCACATCTTCCTATAGCCCCCATATGACGGTACCTCCCAATACTAGGTATTTTGATGATTTTTACGACATGATTCAGCAGAATTGGTTTAAATTTGGTATTTGAAGTTCGTAATGGGTACTACAGCCTAGGACAAAAAATTTCGTAAGCAGATCCACGTCTTCGTATTATCTCCATATAACAGTTTTCATTTAAGCAGTAGTTTCCGGTAGTATTTTAAAATATTTCAAGCTCCTTCCAAATGGTGGAGGGTATTAAAAGTTTGGCCCGACCGAACTTACCTGCTTTCTTACATGTTCTTTGTTTGTTTGTTTACTCCAAAGAAGTAGATTTTATATATTTATACATATTTTCTTCTACGACGCCAGTCGCATGTTGTGAAGATATGTATTTGTTTACAATTTTGACCAATTTGAATAATTTCAAATATATCCATTTCACTTTTTGACGATTTATTGTACCTTTAGTTGTGGTGCTGCGGCTACCTTTATTATTGGAGAACAAGGCAATATTTGCCTTGTTCGGCTTTGCTGATGTTCATATTTGATTTTTCCGATGATGTTTGTATTATTTTCTACCAACAAATTTAAATATTCTTGTTGTTACAAATTGTTTTGCAATAATACTTGATTTTACTGTATACTCGTTAACCATGCAACCGATTGTTAGATTCTTTTTCTATGAAAACATGAAATACACATTTTTTCATTTGAATTTTTATTCTCTATAAAAATGTTCATTAGAAATGTTCATAGAACAGCAATCGAACCCCTGGTTTGACTCTGCCTTTTTTTTTGTAGTATGCCTTTGCCTATTCGCTTTATATCCTACACCACAAGGGGGTTAGGGTATTAGGTCTTTGTTCATTTCATTGTAACAGCCAAAATGAAAAGAGATAGACCAATAGTTCCTTTTGATGCTACGCATAGATTCACATTCTGAGTCGATTTATGCATGACCGTCCGTCTGTATTTTTGTAAACAAAGTACATTTAGCATTTATTGCCCGATCCAATTATGCACAAGTCATTTGACCCAAGTACGAACCCTATTGAAATTGAGATAATCGGTCAAAATTTAGATATAGCTCCCATATATGTTGTTCATCCGATTTTATATTTTTGTCCTCCGCAGACGTAATATGCACTCTGTAACAAGTATATATGGGGATATGCACCAAACCTGTAATATTAGTCCAAATTGCATGGAATTGATCCTAGACCGACCGAATTGATACTAGAAAAATGTATGTCAAATTTGGTCACAATCGGTTCAGACATAGGTACAGCTCCCATATATATTGTTCATCCGATTTGTTATATTTTTATACCCTCAGCCATATGGCTTGAGAGGGTACATATCATTTGATACGGCCAAAACGTGCCTCATCGAAATAACGGTGTAGACCCTAGGTCTCTTTGGTCCAAATCTGTTTCAGGACATTTGAAGTCGATCTAGCGATGTCTGTCCGTCCGTCCATCAGTCTGTCTGGATGGCGGGTGCGCACGATAACAGTCGAAGGGAGATCTGCTCTGAAGATGGAATATATCGGCCCACTCCTTCTGGTACCTCTTCCACAAAGTTTGAATATCCGTGAAGCTCATAAAAAGCGAAAATAACATTCGATTCCATTCAGACATGGTACATCTAAATATTTCCATCAACACAAGATATATTATAAAGATGGTATAGATTTGACCATTTCTTCTGCTAACGCAAAATCTGTTGTAAAGATGACAGATATCTGTCAACCCCTTCTGGTAGCTCACCCACAAAGGGTCACAATTTCCAATACTTATAACTTTCATAGCTTGCGAAAAAATTCGCCAATTCTATACAACTTGCTATATCTAAATATTTCTCTTAACCAGAAATCTGATAAGCATATGTTTTTCTTTCGGAATTTATGATTCCATATAAAATTAGATATAAAGATTCGATTTCCTTTAAACTTTGCACATACTGATATTTTTATCTGTATTTGATGACGTTGAATATTGGGTCCGCTATATCTAGTACCTCACGTATATTTCCACATTTTCCACAAATATGTACATATCACATATAAAGTATAGGAAATAGACGATATTATCCATATATGGTCCGTTGTAATATTTATATCAGACCTAGGTCAGAGACGAATTGGACAGTATTGACCAACTGCTTCGGAACCTCCTCCATAAAGGGTCAACAGTTACAATAATCTTAACTCAAGGCTAGGGTTTTTTATTTGATATTTGAAGCTCTACTAAGGGGTGTAGGGTATCATAAAGTAGGCCCCGCCCAACATTTAGACTTTCTTTACTGGTTTAAAAATGTATCTGTGTCACAAGAATATAATTCTTAAAATTATTGAAACAAACCACCACAAAAAGCACAGTCTTTTCATCTTAATTGCTTTCAAAACACATCAAAAAGTAATAAAAGGCAAATCCTTTATTTGAGTTTCTTGAAAGTTTCTTGTCTACTCAAAATCCTGAGTGTTAGACAAATCCAAATAAAAACTTTTAGATAATTTCTTTGAAATATGT